AAACCTCAACATCTATACTACAAAGCTATAATAATCAAAACAGCATGGTACTGGCACAAAAACAGACACATAGACTGTATTAGTCTGTTTTTGTGTTGCCATAACAGAATACCTGAGATGGGGTAATTTATAAAGAACAGAAGTTTATTTGGCTTATGAACCTGGGGCAGCTGCATCTGGCACTGGCCTCAGGCATCAGGCAGCCAGGGGATGCAAGCAGATCACATGGCAAGAGGAAGCAAGAGAGAGAGAGAGAGAGAGAGAGAGAGAGAGAGGAGAACAGCTGTCACCGGAACTAATAGAGGGAGAACTCACTCACTACTCCCCCTCCACCAGGGAGAGCATTAACCCATTCATGAGGGATCTGCACCCATGACTCAAACAGCTTCCAACACTGCCACATTGGGGATCAGATTTCCACATGAGTTCTGGGAGGATGATACATCCAAACTCAATCACAGACCAATGGAACAGAATAGACAATCCAGAAATAAATCCATGTATGTAAAGCCAACTGATTTTCAACAAAGGAGCCAAGAACATACATTGGAGAAAGGACAGTCTCTTCAACAAATGGTGCTGGGAAAACTGGACAGCCATGTGGAAAAGAATGAAACTAAACCCCCATCTTTCTCCATATGCCAAAATCAACTCAAAATGGATTAAAGACTTAAATGTAAGATCCAAAATAATAAAAAATACTAGAAAAAAACTCAGGGGAAACACATCAGGACATAGGACTAGGCAAAGATCTTATGAATAAGACCTCAAAAGTACAAGTAACAAAAGCAAAAATAAACAAATGGGATTATATCAAACTAAAAAGCTATTGCACACAAATATTAATGTTCAATTCTGTACTCTAAAGATATGTACAATCAACTTTGTTACAATAAAAGAGAAAAAAATTAAAAAGCTTTTGCACAGCAAAGGAAATAATCAACAGATAGAAGAGACAACCTGCAAAATGGGAGAAAATAATTGCAAACTATGAGTCCAACAAGGGATTGATATTTCAAATGTACAAGGAACTCAACTCAATAGTAAAAAACAAATAATCTGATTTTAAAATTTGCAAATGAGCTGAATAGATATTTCTCAAAAGAAGACATACAAAGGCCAACAAGTATATGAAAAAATGCTCAACATCATTAATCATCAGAGAAATGCAAATCAAAACCACAATGAGATATCTTCTCACCCCTGTTAGAATGGCTATTATCAAAAAGACAGACAATAACAAATGCTGGCAAGGACACAGAGAAACAGTAACTCTCATATATTATTGGTGGGAATGTAAATTAGTACAGCCATTATGGAAAACCGTGTGGAGGTTTCTCAAAAAACTGCAAACAGAACTACCACACAATCCAGCAATGCTACCACTGGGTCCATATCCAAAGGAAAGGAAATCAACATGTTGAAGGGATACCTGCACTCCCATGTTTATTGTGGATCTATTCACAATAGCCGAGATTTGTAACCAATTTAAATATCCATCAATGGATAGTTGGATAAAGAACCTGCAGTACATATACACAATGGAACACTGTTCAACCATAAAAAAGAATGAGATTCTGCCATTTGCAGCAACATGGATGAGCTTGGAGAAAATTATGTTAAGTGAAATAAGCCAGCACAGAAAGAGAAATACTGCATGTGCTCACTCATATGTGGAAGCTAAAAAAAGTTGATCTCATAAAAGTAGAGAGTAGAATAGTGGGGAACAGGGAGAGGGTGGCTAATGGATACAAAATTGTAGCAAGCTAGGAAGAATAAGGTCTTGTGTTTTATAGCACTGTAAGTCACTGTAAGTCACTGTAAGTCAACAACGAATTACTGTAAAATTTCAGGTAGCTAGTAGAGAGGATTTTGAATGTTCCCAAAACAAAGACATGACAAATGTTTGAGGTGATGGATACATTAATTACTTGATGTGATCATTACAAACTTTATAAATATACCCCAATATTACATTGCATTCCATAAATATATATGATTATCATGGATCAATTAAGAAAAAATAAATTAAAAAGAAAAAAATTTTTCAGAAATAGAAGTAGATTAGAGGTTACTAGAAAATGGGGGGAAGGGATAATGAGAAGTTGTTGCTTAATGGGTACAGAATTGTTGTTTAGAAATAAATAGAGTTGACAGTCACATAGCATTGAGAATATAAGTAATTCCCTTAAATTGTATTTTTTAAAAATGATTAAGATGGCAAACCTTGTGTTGTGTATATTTTACCACAATAAATAAATAAGTAAATAAACCTCAACATAAATTAAAACCACAATGAGATATCATTACCCACACCCACCAGAATGGCTAACATTCAAAAGATTAACAATCACAAATGTTGGCAAGAATGTGGAGAAACTGGAACTCTTGTGCACTGATGGAGGGAATGTAAATTAGTAAAACCATTTTGGAAAGTTGTTTGGAAATATTTACTATAGTTGAACATTTGAAAATGCATTCATATGTTCACCAAAAAAAAAGAGGTATAAAGAGTTCACAATTGTACTCTTTGTATGGGCCAAAAAAAGAGAGAAACAGCCCAATTTCTATCAACAGTAAAAAAAATGAATAAATGTTGTAAAAATAAATTTTTGCAAGCAGGATCAGAGACACAGATGGTGCCAGGCATCTAAAATGAGGAAGTTATCCCAGCTGAGCCCTTAGTTAAGATCTGACCTCTCTGGGCATTATTGCAAATATCTTCTCTCACTCTGTGGATTGTCTTTCTCTCCTTTAATGGTGTCTTTTGATAAACGGGCACTCTTAATTATAGTATAATTCATATTAGTAATTTTTTTAGTTTTTGAGCATTTTTGGTTGTTATTGTTTTGTTTTTTTGAGGCAGCTCTGACATGTCGTTTACTGATGAATGTGGTCAGATAAGTACAACATAATTGTCCTCATTGGTGGGAGTGTGGGTCCTTGCATGCTTTTTTCTTTTCTTTTATCATGTGGTATATACAGAATAGTGCATAAAACATAAACAGCTTAAGGAGAAATTATGAAGTAGATATGTATGTAACCACCCAAGTCAAGAAATGGAATGTTACCAGCTCCCCAGAAACCCCATGTGCCCCTCTTCATCATATATTTCTCCCTCCATCACTGCTGTCTTGACTGCATAATCATTTTCTTGTTTTCCTTTATAATTTATGTGCATATATAAATGAACACATGGAAGTGTATTTCTAACCGGCACAGTAATTTTGCTTGTTTTTGAAATATAGTCATCATTATACTAAATGCCATATAACAACATTTCTGTTAACAGTAGACAGCATATACTTCGGGGAACTCATAAGATTATAATGGCTATACCATATAGCCTATGTGTGTAGAAGGTGATACCATCTAGGGTTATGTGGGTACACACGGTGATGTCCTCACAAAGACAAAATTGCCTAACAACACATTTCTCAACAAGTATTCCTCATTAAGCAATGCATAACTGTAAATGGAATCCTATTATTTTCATTCTTAAGGATCTTGTTTCTTTTGTTTTATTGAAAGATGCATTTGTGGGCCAGCCCGGTGGCGCACTGGAGAGTGCGCTGCCGAGGGCTCGGATCCCATGTGGAGACCGGTTCCCACTCACTGGCTGAGCACGGTGCGGGCGCAACACCGAGGGTTGCAATCCCGTTGCTGGTCCCCGGTACGGGCGCAACACCAAGGGTTACGATCCCGTTACTGGTCAGTAAAAAGGACAAAAAGGAAAAAAAAAAAAAAAGAAAGATGCATTTGTGGGCCAGCCCGGTGGCGCACTGGAGAGTGCGCTGCCGAGGGCTCGGATCCCATGTGGAGACCGGTTCCCACTCACTCCCCGAGCACGGTGCGGGCGCAACACCGAGGGTTGCAATCCCGTTGCTGGTCCCCGGTACGGGCGCAACACCAAGGGTTACGATCCCGTTACTGGTCAGTAAAAAGGACAAAAAGGAAAAAAAAAAAAAAAAAAAGAAAGATGCATTTGTATTATTGCATATAGCTCTAGTTGGTTCATTTTCATTAAAGTATGTATTCTATTGTCCTTAATTTATCCATTCTACTGCTGTGGATATTTGATTCTTTCCCCAGATCTACAACATTTCTTGTAAATAAATTGCTGCTACCTGGTCTCATTGCTTTTAAAATTCTCTTTCATAGCTACCTGGGTATATTTTATAATCTCACAACCTAATTCATCTTTTATTTCTTTAAACATTTCATCAATAGCTGTTTTATACTTCCTATTTGATATTCCAATAGTCATTGGTGGTCTAAGTGTGTTGTTTAGCATTTGTGTGGAATCTCATTCTTTCTTTCTTTTTTTTTTCCCCAACATGGTTTTGATGATTTTTGATTGTCAGTTGACATCTTTTTGGTATTTATCTGTTGAAAAATGTGTGGGCCTATATGGTGGACTAACAGGTCCCTAACTCTATCTACCCTATGTGAATCATTATACAGTATATGCCTGTACTGAAACAACATACTGTACCCCACCAATATGTACAAGTAAATGATAAAATTAAAAATAAGAATAATAATTCTTTTTAAAAAAAGAAAAATGTGTGGGCCTAAATTGAGGCTGATTTTTCTAGAGATAATTTTTATTCACTTCTTCAAGGAGTCAGAGGCTGTTACAAACCTGAAATCATTTTATTTTATTTATTTTTTATTTTTTGGCAGCTGGCCAGTATGGGGATCCAAACCCTTGGCCTTGGTGTTATCATCAGGATGCTCTAATGAAACCACTTTCAATTCGCATTTGAAGTGGCGTCCCATTCCTCCTTCCCTCCCCCACCTCCATCTTGCCACTGTCCTAACCACTTAGTTTCCAGATTACAGGGCTGATACTGTAATTTCATTCGCCCTCTCTTCAGTCTGCCTTCTTTCTTGGAGGTATTCAAAACTCACTAGGTTTTTGCTGTTTTTTTTTCCTTTGTAAAGTTTCCTATTTCCTGTGATATAAGCCATATAATAAAAATTGTGTTCTCTTTTAGGACTACATGGTCCACCACTGTGTCAAAGCAGAAGTTCTTAAGAGAATATTTTTTGGTAGGTTGGTAAGGAATATGAACCTTGTTTGAGAACAATAAATGGAAGTTATTTCACTAAATAAATTAAACTTCTGTTTTGTTAAATAAGGTAGACAAGAGCTGGAATGTCCTCAGCTGAGGAGGTGAGCTTGGATCACAGAGAGGAATTTACAAAGATTTGGGGAAGACAAAGACGTGAAAAGAGGTAACCAACTCTACTGGATATGTTTGATTACGTTTCTGCTGTTTGGTGAGGAATGCGAATCACAAACTAACCCCAAATATACCCATTTTTAAGAATAATGTTGTGAACTTGGATCTACTTTGGAAGAAGAAATGCCCCAACGTAAGTAAGCAAAAGAGCTGGAATTTATCTACATTAGAATGATATCTAGAGAATGAAATTTATCTTGACATTATTTTGGTCTCTTGCAGAAATGTCTTCACTGTGTTAAGTTTAATATTAGTCTCTTATTTTTTATATCATACTAATATTTTTTAAATCCATTTGAAGAACATTCTGTCTTTTGCAAAACCACATTCAAGATAATATCCATTAAGTTACTCCATGTACCTTTCACAAGAACCCACACACATACAAGATTTCTCTTTAAATTCAGTGCCAGGAAAAACCTTGTCTCTTTAGAAAAATATGTTCGCTTCTTTCCCTTGGACTAAATAACCCATATGTTTCCTGTCTCAACTTTTTTCCTTAACTCCCAGAAAAATCAGAGCTAAATTTAAGGCTCAATTGTGGTAACTAACTAATCCCAGGTGCCTGGTTTCGTCTCTGTCTCTGATCCTGCTTGTAAAAATAATTTTACTATTCTTTCATTTCATATTGTAAAGTAATACATATTCATTATTCATTGTAGGAAACATAGACAAAAGAATGAAAAAAAGCGACTGTTACTTTTAAAATGTTAGTGTATATTCTCTGGTTATACCGCACCCTGACCCCAACTCTATTATTGTTATTTAACTGCCAGAAAGGAAAATTGACTCCAACTTACTTAAACAATAAAAAGTATTTATTAGAAAGTTACCGGAGAGTTGGCATCATTCAAGTAGAACCCCCAGACTCCAAAATGCTCAGGAACCTTGCAGCCCTCATCCCCCTACCAGCGATGGAAATCACAAACAATCTCCTTAGGGCCCGGCCTTTGGCTGACTCATTTCCAAACTACTTTTTTTCTGAGTGATGACCGGCGTGGAGCATTGAATTGGGCAATTGCACTAAGACTATATGGAATGGGGCAGGGCCAGACAGCCAGTATAAATAGAAGGAGGATGGTTCTGTTATCATAAAAGTGGGGTGAGTAAAATGGGTGTTTCAAGCCACTGAGCTGGAAAGCATCCTGGGCTTGGCACGTGCCTGTGTTTTCTCCCTCCATAGTCACAGCCAAGCATCCACGAATTTATGTTGCCCCACTCCCATCACCATTGCGAGAAAGAAATCCTGGACTAGGAGACAAGGGGGCTCACTCTCCTGATGGATTTCCCGAGGAGGTCTCAGTTGCAGAGGACTGTGGCTGGCTGTTGGCTCCACTGATCTTCCTGCACCTTGTCCCACCAATGATGGCTGGGTCATGCTGAACTTCCAATAGTTCTTTATCACAGGTTATTTTTCATGGAACACCTAATAATTCTTGTGGAATTGGCATTCTGTTTAAACAGTTTATAAAACATTAGTTTAATATTTTAGATACTTTGTATTACAAAAATTGGCCTATTAATAAAGTTATCCACTCACTGACTATATATATATGTGTGTCTTATATATATATATAAGCTAAAGACTTGGCATAGAACTAATAATCAACATTAAATGGTAAGTGACATCCACCTTTTCCTTTGGTTACTGCTCAGTATGTGCTCAGAAATAATGCAGACATCAGCTATAAACTGTTAGCATCATATAGCTAATGTTCAGAACAGTTTTTCTCCTACTGTTTAAGTCATTTTCTCAACATCTTCATTAATATAGAGTCCAGCTCATTCTACTCTCATGCTATAATGTGCGGAAAGCATTGTTTGACTCAATATATCTACATTCACTAAATAATCCATAAAATAAGAAACCATTTTTCCTCTAGTTAGATTTTCAAAGCTTAAAAAAAAAGGATAATACTCAGTATTGTAACTAAGTTGATAGGAGTCAAAAACATTTAAAGCTATTAATATATATGTGTGTATATATGTGTCCATACACACATGAGAAACTGTAAAACTTCCCAGAGCCTTTAGTTTGATACAGTAAATTTTGCATTTCCCGAAATATAACATAGTATACAATGTTTCCTAGATATTTTTGACTGCCAAAACCCCTTCCCCAAAACCAATATTAATATCGCTGAGGGAATTAATGTTCCATAAACTAGTGTTCCCATAAGTATCAAGAAATTTTACATTATTAGTTATCAATTGTTGTTACCACTTGTTGAGGATATAGCATAGAATCACATTAATTTTTAAAGTAAACAGAACTAGTCTTTATTTTGCTCTAATTATGTGTAATGACGTCAGGGGGATTATGACCTCTTGCCCAGTGACTCCCTCTTCTCCCTCCCTATGGAGTTTTTTGTTTTGTTTTACTTGTCATTATGTTCTGATTTTTCTGTAGTTAGTGCATATGTACATAAATTAAGAAAAAAGTGACTTAGCAATATATGCAAAATAGACAGCAATTTAAAGATTAAATATTTGTTGAATACAACAAATGAAGAAAATTCATTCTCATTAAACACATAAAGTATTTGGTAACATTTCTCCTCATCTCTTAATGAACAGCACATCATTCATTAAATACACTGAATAGATGTAGCAATATCAGAGTATCTATAAGATTCAACATAATGTTGTTATTTTATTACAAAAATATTAATCCCTAAGATACACTCTGTTATCAACAAAAAATACTCATATTCTCTTATTATTTATATGTAACAAGGATATTATTTTAAATGCTCTACTAAATCATGGGCTGGCAAACTTTTTATGCAAATATCCAAATAGTAAATATTTTAGACTTTGTAGGCCATGCAGTCTCTGCTACAATTGCTTAATTCTGCTGTTTTAGTGCAAAAGCAGTCATGTTCATGTAACTCCTCATACCTAAACAAATGAATATGGCTTTGTTCCAATAAAACTTTATTTATGTAAACTGAAATCTGAATCACATAATTTTCACAACATTTGATATAGTTACTTTTGTCTTTTTCCAACCATTTAAAAATGTAAAATCATTCTTGGTTCATAGACCATACAAAAGCAGGCAGAGTCAGATTTGGCCCAAGGGCTGCAGTTGACTGACCCCTGTTTTAAATATTTGTAGAGCAGGGACCACAAAAAATGCTATTTTCTCAAACAAAAACATGTCTATGCTTTTGGGCTGACTTATTAGAAAAATTTCAGATTTGACCTGGCATTTACTAGGGAGAACAATCTTAAGAAGTGTTTTTGTGCCTGTGATACCCAGCCTCTAAGTTGGCCCCCAGTAATCCCCATGTTCTGGTAGCTATGCTTTGTGTAGTCTGTCCCCTCTCACTTTGCAACAGCATACAGTAGAAATGATAGTATGTCACTTACAAGATGAGGTTATAAAGACTGCAGTTTCTGTCTTGAGTGTATGCTCTTCCTCTTTCTCTTGGATCTCTGCCATCTTGTGTGGTGAGACCCACATGGTGAGGAACTGAAGATTCCAGCCAACAGCCAGAGAGAAACCATGACCTGCCAACACCTATGTGAGTTAGCTTGGAAGCAGATCTGCCAGCCCCAATCGAGCCTTCAGATGACTGCTACCCCAGCTAACACCTTGAATGCAACCTCACGACAGACCCTGAGCCAAAACCACCCAGCTAAACTCCCCTGGACTCCTGAACATCCAGGAACTGTAGGAAAACGTTGTAAGCTGCTAAATTTGGGATCATTCTTTATGCATCCGTATATAAGTAATACAGTGCCTATGTTAGACCAAGATCTGTTGGGTTCCTCGCACTAACCCCTTGCATATTGCTGCTCTCAGGACCCCTCTGTTCTGACTCATAACCCAATTCCTTTTCTGGGTGCCCAGTCCATGAATCCTGCTGTACCAGACACTCCCTGAAACTAAGACTTAACTCCAGTCTTTGGACTGTCTGCATGTCACATATGGAACTAGTAAAGGAAGAGGGGAAAATTCCCTGCACATGATTTTCCTTAAAACACTAGTCAGATTTTCTGAATCTAGTAATTTAATAGCATCTTTCCACTAGAGAAAAAAATAAAAGTTTATTTGCTGCTTCCTAACTTGTTCATGTAACTCCTCATGCTTTCCTCATTCATTCTTTTCAGTATCTTTTCAAACAGTATATTGCACTTACTTTAAGTGACAATTTGATCCTTGGGAATTGTGCTTTGTTTTTTAATCAGTCATCTGATTTTCCTCTAGAGTGCACAATCTATTCCACTGCTTATTACCTCTTACTTGTCAGCATTACAGGTCCTGAGATGATTCAAGAATGACATTTTGTAAAACATAAGGCAGGAAAAGCAAGAAAATAATGGTCACTCTGCCAAGCCAATCATGTGATCCTGACAGCAGGTTGGAGCCAGGCCAGTCATCATTAGCAGGAAATCATCTCATTATATTTTGCGACTTAAGAGCATTGGAATTTCTTAATGTTCACAAATACCTTTGAAAATGTTGGAATATTCAAATAATTGGAAAAATGGGAAAGGAGGAAAATATCAAGCAACCTGGATCCTTGTCACTTGCACTTAGAGTAAAAAAAGAAAGGGTCATGAAAAGTAAGTTTTTATGAGAAGAGAAATGGTGGTGATGTTTGAATTCATCATAGGAGACTCAGGGAATGTCCTTTGTCTGGTTAGATCTGCACTGAACAAAAAAATTTTGCAGGCTTGAGAACAGAATATAATTTAAATATTTCTTTTTGCTCAGTAACTGTATTAATACAATACCATGAGTTTTTCAGAGAACACATTGAAGAAAATGGCAATGACAAATGCTTGAATGTAGTA